GGCAAGTGACTTCCTCTCTTCTTTCCTGCGGAAACACGACTGCTTCAACCAAAACCGAGGTTTGATGACTTTCAGCTCATTGCTGAGCGAATTCCAGTGATACTGCCACTACTCATGCAAAAATGGGGTGGAAATAAATGGTGGAAATAAAGGATGGGTACATGTTCTTAGTGGTCATGGTGTAAGGAGTATGCGTGCGCACCGAGTAGCACGCTTGGCTATTACTTCAGCTGGATCATTTCCAGAGATCCCCACGTGACACGAGATCCAACAAAAGGTCACCGTTTGTTCCGCCCGATCCGCCGTTTTTCCCGGCCGATACAGCGGTGTCAGGCGCGGGAGCATGTCTTGAATAGGCGGGTTAGTCAGACACGTGCCACAGAGCGTGCCACAGGCGTGGGAGCATATCTTGAATAGGCGGGCTAGTCAGACACGTGCCACAGAGCGTGCCACAGGCGTGGGAGCATGTCTTGAATAGGTGGGTTAGTCAGACACGTGCCACAGAGCGTGCCACAGGCGTGGGAGCATGTCTTGAAAAGGCGGGCTAGTCAGACACGTGCCACAGAGAGCCAGAAAGGTTATCAATGAGTCGTAGAGTATCAAACGCAAACAGTCACTGTCCACTTCTACACAGAAAGAGCGCTTTGATGACAGCTGTAAACTCGCATGTGTAGACGGCTGCACAGACAGGCAGCGTGAATTAGCGCGTTGAAGGCTCATGCACGAAAACACCACTTAGAGCTGCAATCGTTTTGGAGCCATCTGTGTAAGGTATGGCATATCTGTCAAAGAGAGCTATGTGTTTCAAGGTTTTGCTTCTAAATTCAGTCGTTAGTACCCTCTGCTTCCGAATGTTTACCCAAAGCAACTCTCGACGAAGTGGGCTCCCAAGAGACAGTTTGCACGGCCCAGCGCTAATAGCACGCCTAAAGCTCAGACGACTTCCCCCTAGAAGCTCTTGAATGTGCACGCAGCAGGGTGACGTGAAGAGACAGTTGTCGTGAACGGTGCTGTTGAAAAAGCCTGGCCCTGCACCGCGGAAACACCGCTTGATAGCTGGGATGATCTGGGAACTGCGAGAGCCCGCACGCCTAGGACAGATCCAGGAGTCGCCTGCGTATTGTTAGTGGGGGCACGCGAGCCTCCACCAGAAGACTGCCCATCGGTGATCTACGGAAAGCTCGTGCAGCGATGAGGAGTGCAATGTGGGGAGTATCTGTTTAGCTTGCGTTTGACCAAGCGGATGCGTCATCGCACTTAAAGCAACCGTAGGCCAGTTTGGAACGGGCGAGGGAACCGTAAAAAGTACAAGCCTTTCCCATTCAAGCTGCCGCCGCCGTCCCAGTCATGGCCATCCTGGAGTACCGGCACAATGCTTTTACCCGCTCAATTCCTCGGGCTACTTACTGTCGGGTGCAGACGTTGTAACCACGTGGCCTCAGCGCCGGCCGGGAGGGCTGTCTCGGCAGAGGCGCTGCCAAGCCACTGCTTGCCTGCCCCGCCACGGACTGTCAGAGGCAGTTTTATGTCGACATTGCAGACGTCCGAAGGTTTTAGTCATTGAGTGATACATTAAACTGGTGCCCTCACTGATGCGCATCCGATGCATGGTGAGTTATTACCCAACTCGCAGTCAAAAGGGAATTTTCCACATTCATCTGGGAGTTTGAGCTGAAATATCCATCTTAAAACCTTTCTGTGCTGTTAACAATCCTGCCATTTTTAAGACGTGAGGTCCTTTAGTTTCTGAGTTACACACCCTCGAAAATGGGGAAAGATATGTCGGGGAGAGCATTTCAAAGTTACCTTAGCATTCATGACGTCAGAATAACGTCATTCAAACCACGCTATTCCATAAGCCATGTGGCAATCGAGGTCAAGAAAGATATAATCATCGAGGCGTTCATGCCTGGTGTTCTTGATTGCGATTTCCAGATATAACGGCCGTCAATTAATTTGCGATCAATGTTGTGCAAGGTACGCTGACGTAGTCGAACCATGGTACATTGGGGAGCATGTTTACTAAACAAGTAATTGTGTTGTCTAGATCACAATTCTCATTAACTTAAATAACTCAAGAACTTTAAAATTATGCCAATAGTCAATAGCAATCTTGTTTCGTCATCTCTGTTGCTTGCTTTGACATCCTCAAATATGAAACATTCCATTTAATGCCCGCTAGACGCCAAATTGTGCAGTATCCTAGTCATGACCATTTCAACTGCGGTCCCCTGCACGTTCCTAGCCTTCAAAAATCTGGAGAAGTGAAACTCACTTTTGGCGTGGTAATTGGACGTTAAGGGCGGATACGGTGGCCCAACCAGAGAAATACGAATCGACACACTTGGCTTCAGCCATTCGCCCTGCTCGCTCCAAACCAGCGCCCTGATAACGTTTGCAAAATGAAGCCGGGACCTGAGATATAACAAGGCAGCATCGACGTAGTTTTAGTCCGATAACCATAATCTATTTAGCAGAATCCAATTTGACGTGTCAGCGATTTCTAAACAGGAATATACATTACATGTTTTATAGGCAAACCGAAACGCGATTGGTTACGAATCGTTCGCCACGCGACTCGACGTGCGTCCAGGGAGAAAACTGGACTCATGCAAGCCTCCTGGCTATGCTGCTGATCGATACCGGAACAGACAAATAGAGACGTTGGTAAGTGACTTGGTCAAGTTAACACGGCAGGAAGGCGCGGGCTAAGTGTTGCAGTAGTTACCAAGGTTCGCCTGCGGCAGCCGACCATTCAGCTAGTGCGCCGCACGGGGCTCTGCTCCGTGGCGAATGAGGCAGCAGGTAACGGATGACGGGCACGGTCCAATGAGCCGCACTCATTCCGTGTCACGGCCGGCGACTGGTGTTACACAGCCGGCTGCAGCCGGCGACGGCAGCGGGCTCGGCGTGCCTGGTCCGAGCGCCGCTGAGGGCTGCGCTGCCGAGCACGACGACCAGTGGAATTAATGAATTAGGCCCTAATAAATGATGGAAATGTGTGGTATCGCATAATGTCAATATCGCGTAAAACCCGTCCGTGTCGATGTACTTGTTGGTTGTTAGTTACACCACTGTATGCGACACTTTCGTGGTTGCGGCTGTGCGATTTCTGCGGGGTCCGAATTGAGCTCACTCAACCCAGGTTCTCCATGCCAAAAAGCGTCAGTATGTCACCCTACGAACTTTGGTTCACGTATCACGGAGACATGTAGTGCCAAGTTCACCATGTCTGAGGTTGGGGTCGCCATTGCTCACAAAATAAGCGTGACGCCAGGCCGGGCACCATCGCAAACAGCGTGCTTAAACACTTGGCAACCCGATCGCTTACGTTCGCATCATGGTTTTTAAAGATTATATCTAGGCGACCGATTCACCAGTTTCGCAAGTGAGCTATTAGGTTGTTGTCCCAATTTTGAAACTGCATATGAACGACACAAAGCCCTTAAATTACCATTGAGCTCACCTACATGCCGCATGTCCAATATTTTTGACAAAATGGTGGCTACTGCACTTGTGTGGTTTCTGGAGCAAGGGTCTCTCCCCAGCACGCAATGCGCTCAAAGCAAAACAAAGGAAGTGCATCAAGGACAGTTTCGTCTCTTTACTTCCAAGAAGACTTTGAACACAAATGTGTTCCAGGGCCCCTTTGACCCCATCTGCTGTCGCAGCACTTTGTCAAAGCGTCATGAATGCGGCTGGCGCGAACAGCTGTGCTCGTTTCCAACAAGCTTGTTTCTTAGGTGATCGTTTAATGAGCGGGTGGACAGCACGCGCTGATGTCGGTTTACGCGTGCAAACAGTGTCGAAAACGGAGCGGCATATTTATTCATCACGATGGACGGCGTCAGGCGCATACTGGTCGCAAACGTGGCCTTTTGGCTGACGATTCACCGGCTGGGTTGCGACTTTCACATGGTCGTCACAGATCTGCCAGCTTCAGCTCTCACTGGGTGTGTTTTGTGTTTTGACTGTTTTTTTTGTTGTGCGTTTCGAGCATACGTGTATGACATACGGCTCAACAATATCGGCCCGCCTCGCGCGTTCACCGTCGGCTGTCACCCTCCGCCCGCGCCACCCGTAGATCGCCGTGCAGTGTTTCTTAAAAGTGCCGCTGCTCCGAAACCAGAAAATCTAGGAGCACATTTTTGGTGTGAAAACACGCGTTAGGGATGCCCCGCACGCTTTTGAAAATTTGAGGCGATTGCATGACACGTCTGAGAGGTATCCTAAAAAAAACCTGAGGGAGGGTCGCATCTACCCCTATATCCGGGTGAAGGCTATACTGCTTCATTACTGCAGCTATATTGCCGTACTGCTTCAAGCGCGACAGCGTTCTAGTCCAATCTGAATACGCGACAATGGGTCAGTTTTTGGACTTTGTTGTGTTTGAAACCGTGCTGTTGGAATCTCATTTGTTTAATCTCTGTAGAAAAAATGGAACATGAAATATGCTCTGACAAGCTCGACTCATTCCTTAGATAGCCCCGTCATAGTGTGGCCCAGCAGGCGAGCGGCGCCGTAGAGCAGAGGCGAATCCATCCCCGTGTGGCGTTGCAGGCGAGCGGCGCCGTAGAGCAGAGGTGAATCCATCCCCGTGTGGCCTTGCAGGCGAGCTGCGCCGTAGAACAGAGGCGAATCCATCCCCGTGTGGCCTTGCAGGCGAGCTGCGCCGTAGAACAGAGGCGAATCCATCCCCGTGTGGCCTTGCAGGCGAGCTGCGCCGTAGAACAGAGGCGAATCCATCCCCGTGTGGCCTTGCAGGCGAGCTGCGCCGTAGAACAGAGGCGAATCCACCCTCGTGTGGCCTTGCAGGCGAGCTGCGCCGTATAACAGGGGCAAATCCATCCCCATATGGCCGAGCAGGCGGGGTGTGCCGTAGAACATAACTATTTATATAGCTAATATTTGTATTGCATTCCAAACAGCCCCACTGAGTACCTCTGCTATCCTTTCCGTCCACTCATCTGTTTCCTTTTCGGCACGCAATCGCCGCCATCGCATCGATGTCTCCTTGTATTCACGTGCTATTCCGAAATGGAACCGAGAACGTCTGGGCCCTTTCAACGACCTCAGTCGTCCTAATCAGTGAGAAATTGACAGTATTATCGTCGGTGTGCATGCATATGGCCCTGAAACGCTATTGATGACACAATGCATGCAACAGAATATTTTCCTTACACCAACCGGGTTTCGCAGCAGGACAATCTCAGCAAATTTATTCAACGCCTTCTTCCTATAGATAGACTAAACAGAGACACCACAATGCTTTCGAACACATGGACGCCAAACTCAGCAATGAAGCTCTACCAGACTTGTACACCCTTTTGAACAAAGATCGTGACATGAAATCCCAGTATTTAGTCCACACCATTAGCTTCAATCTCGCTGATTTCAGATTTAAGCGGGCCAGTGTTATCGTGGTGTACGGCCACGACAAAAGCGATGCGGTGCTTTTTGAGAGTTTCTGGCTTAATACGACTCCCGGCAGCTGCGTTTTAAAGACCATTGGTATTCCAACTACATTTTGCAAGAATGTACATTTTACATTAATGTACAACACTTTCCAACTGGTAAATGTCTCGATTTATAATATTAAGTATAACTATTGGTCACACTCTGGCAGGACAACGCACCGACGAAAACAATTTAGGGCACAACAGGAACAAATGACAGCTGGCCACGTAACATGCACCAAACAGGTCTGGCAGTGTGCAAGTCTGAACGTATGGCTATTCGACTCGGTGGTTTTTAGCGCTCACTCGATTGATTCCGGTCATGTTGTTCGCCGAGGGCAAATTTGAAGTGAGGCGTCTGTGTTGCCCAAACCGATGGCGAACGATCCTTCAGGGGGGGGGGGGGGGGGAGGGGGAGGGGAGGAATGCGGGTGGCAGATGGCCACAGGTGACTGTGGCAGGCGGTCACAGGTGCCTGTGGCAGACGGTCACAGGCGACTGACACACGGTAGCAGGTGCCTGTGGCAGACGGTAGCAGGTGCCTGTGGCAGACGGTAGCAGGTGACGGGCAGACGGTAGCAGGTGACTGGCAGACGGCAGGAGGTGACCGTCCAGGCAGGGCCGGTCCGTGCCGCAAGCGCCAGACACGGTCAGCCCAGCGGGCAGCGCCGAGAGAAGGGCGGAGCGGCGCGGCCGCCGCCGCGAACAGGTCGACAGGCTACGGGTAGATGGGCGCCCAGTCTTTGCTGACCGCTTTCGTCTCGAGGGTGATCGCATGGGTCGAGAAGTTGATCACCGGGTCTTCGGTTCCAAACTCCTCGAATACGACAATCTGTGAACATCATAAACCACACCTGCAAGCGCTGCCGGCGCGCCGGCTGTGGGCGCCTGGAATACAAGGATTCTGCTGACACCAGTAGGTGGTTCATGTCAGCTGGACACCGCAGCTAGTTATGAGCGGTATTGGCAGCAGATGAGCAAAATAGCAAGACGTGCCGCTAATGAACATTGCCTGTTCACAAACAATCACAGTCTCAAATGTTGTAAAATGAACTGCAATGCTCGGTGATCAATACACAACCCCGTCAAAATGCAATGCGAATAGGATAACTCGGCTGAGAGCTACAGCGTACCTCGGTATATCAACGCTGACAGCCATTTCGTCGCAGGGTGACCGGACAGGTTACAATGTCCACAGCGCGACAGTCTCGCCGCGTGCAGCGATGGCTGTACTGACCTGGTTGTCACCGACCGAGAGCAGCGGTGCCGGGAGGTACAGCGTGAACACCGGGCCCGCTGTTAAGTACCGGCCCAGGTTGAATCCGTTCACGAACACGACCTGCCGGCGGCGTCACGTCACGCCAATCAGAGCCCACGCCCAGAGCTCTCGTGGAGGGCACCGCGGCAAACGGCCAGCCGGAGCCCACGGCCAGGGTTCTCACGGAGGACACCGCGGCAAACGGCCAGCCAGAGCCCACGGCCAGCTTTCTCACGGAGGACACCGCGGCAAACGGCCAGCCAGAGCACACGACCAGCGTTCTCACGGAGGACACCGCGGCAAACGGCCAGCCAGAGCACACGGCCAGCGTTCTCACGGAGGACACCGCGGCAAACGGCCAGCCAGAGCACACGGCCAGCGTTCTCACGGAGGACACCGCGGCAAACAGCCAGCCAGAGCACACGGCCAGTTGTCATACGGAGGACACCGCGGCAAACGGCGAGGGAAACGCGCCAAGTATTTTTCATCGTGGTGGCCAAACATGCCGCGAGGTTTGCCGGCGGAAACGAAGGGCCGCACAACGCCGCACGCCGGTGTTTCTGCGGCAACATGTCACACCCGTGTGGGACACAGCCGGCGTTCTTCCCTTGTCTCATAAGCTGTCTGTGTCGGCTGTGGACAGCTTCCATGGAACAGCATCTTTCTATTTCTCTGCAGCAATGGTTTTGCAAGACAGTGTTAACAATACAAGCGCTTCACCAGGGTTACCCCAGCGCTAGGCAATTAAACCGACGGAAAAGGGAAGCTACCGCACTGCAAGCAGCGGCTGGCCTGGATGTGGCATGGAGGAGCGGGCGCCTCGCCCAGCGTGCGGCGTTTGCAGCCGGAGTTGGCTGACGACTCACGCCCTTGGTGAGCTGGCGCATGTCCAGGTACGTGTCGGCCGGCTCGTCCACCTTCAGCGTGCCCCGCAGCATCGTGGGCAGTGCAACTGACGCGTCGCCCAGGGGCGTCCACTGCTGCAGTCTGTGGACAACGGCCCGTCGGTGTGTCATGACGCACCGCGCTCGGCACCAGGGCCTCATCTAGGGTCTGAATCTCAGAGGACTGAGCATTATCGCAATCTTGAAACGGACATAGGCGTGCATGCACACAACATAGTCAGCGACTGATTGCGGGTAATAACAGAACATAGCGTCATAAGATTCTCCAATGTGGTGTCTATGCATCTACATATTCACAGTCGTCTGCTCTCACTTGTTGATCCAGTCTTTCTTCATCTCCATGGGATATATTTCCCAGCCCGTGACAGCTGCACCATCAATCTCCACCGGCCCCTCATACAGCCCTGTCGCATTCAGGAGAAACGTCTTGTGAACTACCGCGGTACGGATTTCATCCCAGGAGTACGGCGGCATGGGATAACATGGGACTTACCAAGCAAGGGCAGACAGCAGGTATGTCAACATCTTGTGGTAATACACAGTACCTGTTGGTCTTCACGAATACCCACAACACATACACCCAAACGCACAACACATGATTACATGAGTGTTGCGGTGTGAGTATTATCCGGCTTCCATTAGAGCAGAGCTGCAGATGCTTAACCCACACCATAACCGTTGCCATATCTATACTCATTTTACTTGAATGCCATCACAAGGTGTAACGCAAGCGCTGCTGATAGTTTTACATCTCGCCAAAATTTGTGCCGGGGCAATGACCTTTCCGTTGGAAGTCTAGGACGTGGGGCTCTCCGTAGTTGACGCGACCCATATTCTCCACCAGGATGTCCAGAACGTGGTCGCCAGCCGCACATGGCAACGTTATTGAAGCGTCTCTGACGAATCAACAGAGACGCATTAGCATACATCTTTAACAAAGCATTATGCGCGTGCCATTTCAGACGGCGCACGCGGTTTACAAAGCTTACAACGTGGTTCAAGTGTTCATAGAGTGGGCATGATAACCAAGAACATCATCCCATGCACCGCTCAGTTACCTGTGATTCCCCCCCCCCCCCCCCACACACACCCTCATGAAGAAACGAGGTGCTTAATTTAGCCTTGACCGGATCAGAGCTGGCAGTAGATCTGACTTACTTGAGAGGCCAGTACCCGAAGGACTCCAGGGCAGCAACATTTTCCGGTTTCTTGGTGAGTAGTTGGCCGTCTATGACAACAAGCGCCACATCCCTGTGGCGAGAGCGTCTAGGGTCACGCCTAGTAACGATACATCTCACCGTACTAGCCATGCCGCAGTATCTGAGATCAATAGCAATACACCCGTAGAAATGAAAGGCTCCTACCTGACAACACGTCCTTCACAATAGAACTTAACCTCATAAAAGAGAGCATCGTAAATGACACCTCTCTTACAGAACGTAAAAAGACAAGGCGCCTCTTGGGGTGCCGGTAGTGTAGTGGTTAGCGCGCCTGCGTTGGCTACGGCGCGTCTGGGAACCCAGAGGTACGGGATTCGATTCCCCGCGGTGCCCGCCCTTCCTGCCAGGGTGAGAGGCAGGCAGGTCGCCGTAGAGCCTCAGCAGCGGAGTGCGTCGTAAATCCCCAATTACACACACACAAGGCGCCTCTTAGGTCACCCTCATCGTCTAATCGTGACCTCTCATGTGGTCGTGGCCTGAGATGACTTCGGAAGGTGAGTTCTAATACAATTCCTGACCTGACGTTACCCACGATCGTGGACTTTAATACGGTCATGACCTGTTGTGACCCCGGAGGGTGAGCTCTACGTAACCGAGTACGGTGAGCTCTAATGTAATCGTGGCCTGACGTGACCCCGAAGGGTAAGCTTTAATGCGGTTCTGACCTGACGTGAACCAGGATGGTGAGCTCTAACGCGACCCTGACCTGACACGCCCCCGAGGAGTGAGCTTCTAACGCAGTCCTGACCTGACATGACCCCGAATGGTGAGCTTCGAGCTGTTTGCGGTGGTGACGTTGGCTCTGTACCAGACTAGGCCGTAGCTCTGGCCGGAGCCGTTGTTCACCGACAGGTTCTCCATGTTCAGCAGCTGGTCACTCCTCTCCGCGGTCAGCTGGTCTCGCAGCACCTCCATCGAGATGGCTTCCTTCAGCTGGACAAAATCGTATGCCTTCACCGGATTCTCCTCCGGCTGCTCGACAGGTTTCAGGTTTTTGAATGATTGAGTGCTTTTGCAGGAGTTCCTTGGTGATGTTGTACTTCTCAGTGTAGCAGCCACCCTCGGTTAGGACGGCATCGTAGTCTGCAGAACAGAAATCACCTCATGGACATGGTGTTCTCACCAGGAACCACTGACGGATCTCCCCACCGGCGCGTCACATACTCAAGGAGAAGGCCGCCTGCAAAGCGTTTGGATTCCTGAGACGACCCATTTTGAAGTCATCAACGCCTTTACACCGACCAACCATTGAGCAAAAACGCTGAAATGAAGTTGAGCCCTCTCAGCTGAATAATACCTTCCTCCTCTCCAACAATGTGAATGAAATGTGACACTGTTTCTTTGTGTGCGTACATATCTTTTACATAGCGGTCACTCCGCTGCATGGCTTCAATGCCACTCTAAAATAGAAAACGCAGCGACCAACTGGGTGGTGCACTAAAGCTCTTGTCGTACCGTAGCTGGTTGTGTCTGGGGTGAAGTTGGGGTTGACGTTGACCCAGTTTGCTCCAGCCATAAAGCCGAAGTTGGTGCCGCCTTGGAACATGTACATGTTCACAGAGGAGTTGCTCTGCAGGATGACGTCCAGGATCTCCCGAAACGCTGGGGATGTGCCAGCAAGCTCAGCGACACAACACTGACTACATGTTTTCCGATAGCTCTCAAATCAGGAGTGAACGAAACGACGTTCAGACACCAGCTTGATCGCAGCACCGTCTATCGATGTGGGGAGACGTGCACTTTGCTGGGCGACGACATGACTCAGAATGATTCAGAGCACACTCAGCCAGGGTGCGGTGCTCACCCTGGACAGCCAGGGTGCGGTGCTCACCCTGGGCAGCCAGGGTGCGGTGCTCACCCTGGGCAGCCAGGGTGCGGTGCCCACCCTGGACAGCCAGGGTGCGGTGCCCACCCTGGACAGCCAGGGTGCGGTGCTCACCCTGGACAGCCAGGGTGCGGTGCTCACCCTGGGCAGCCAGGGTGCGGTGCCCACCCTGGACAGCCAGGGTGCGGTGCCACCCTGGGCAGCCAGGGTGCGGTGCTCACCCTGGGCAGCCAGGGTGCGGTGCCCACCCTGGACAGCCAGGGTGCGGTGCCCACCCTGGACAGCCAGGGTGCGGTGCTCACCCTGGACAGCCAGGGTGCGGTGCTCACCCTGGGCAGCCAGGGTGCGGTGCTCACCCTGGACAGCCAGGGTGCGGTGCTCACCCTGGGCAGCCAGGGTGCGGTGCCCACCCTGGGCAGCCAGGGTGCGGTGCTCACCCTGGACAGCCAGGGTGCGGTGCCCACCCTGGGCAGCCAGGGTGCGGTGCTCACCCTGGGCAGCCAGGGTGCGGTGCTCACCCTGGGCAGCCAGGGTGCGGTGCTCACCCTGGGCAGCCAGGGTGCGGTGCCCACCCCGGACAGCCAGGATGCCCACATGGAGCATCTTCTGAAGAGTCTCAATTCAGGTGAGTCTGATACTGGCGGATCTCTGTCAAGTCCGCGATCGAAGTTCGGTAAGTGAAACAATCCCTTCAGCAAACTGAGCAAATGGATCAAGGATAATCCCTACGCAAATGAATGATACGTCCATGTCATTGCTCCGGAAAGCCCCTTGGAAAGGCGTTCTATACAGACCCAGATCCGATAGTGAGGCTTGCAAATCTGAATCATGTGACTGGCTTTTAACTCAGCAGCACCCAGCAGTTTGACATGAAACCCAGCAACATCACGGGATTCGGGACGATCGTCGACGCACCAGCAGCGTCGAGACCGGCTTTGAATGGCGCCAGCCAGTGGTCGAACCAGCCCGTCCAGAACTCCATGGCCATGAGCGGCCGGTCCGGCTGTAGCCGACGCAACGCCGCCAGCTGCGCCTCGACGTCCTTCTGGAAGTTGGCCGTCTGCAGCACTGCCGGACGCACCCATATACATACGATCGTCATGTACCCGGCCGTCTGCAGCACTGCCGGACGCACCCATATACATACGATCGTCATGTACCCGGCCGTCTGCAGCACTGCCGAACGCACCCATATACATACGGACGTCATGTACCTGGCCGTCTGCAGCACTGCCGAACGCACCCATATACATACGGACGTCATGTACCTGGCCGTCTGCAGCACTGCCGAACGCACCCATATACATATGATCGTCATGCACCTGGCTGTCTGCAGCACTGCCGAACGCACCCATATACATACGGACGTCATGTACCTGGCCGTCTGCAGCACTGCCGAACGTACTCATACACATATGACTGTCATGTACCTGGTCGTTTGCAGCACTGCCGAACGTACTCATACGCAAACGGACGTCATGCGCCTGGCTGTGGCGGAGTCACCAGGTGAATGTGTCGTGTTTTCTTCGCTACCGTCATCATACGTCATCATTATCACCACCATCAGCATAAGGGGAAGGTGAACAGTCTTGGGCCATTTTTGAAGTGACATGCTTGACGTTTAAGCGGGCTCATTATGCGAGTCAATGAGCAATGAGTTTGCATTCAGCCAAGCTCTAAAGAAGCCTTCCTTTTGTCTTCGTGTATGCCAGGTCTGATCACTAACATAATCAAACGTTGCAATCGATATGAAAATTTAAATCAAAATTAAAAGATCCATATATATATAATGGCAAGTAGAAATGTCTAGGAAGCAGTGTACAGTTATCAGCTGGGCCACGGGATCCCTCCTGTCCCTCCAGGAGGGATCCTGTGGCCCAGTTAATTATCTCCCCTCTAATCCCTCCATTGGTACATAATTATCCATGGCGGGCACGCGAAACGATGATGACTTTTCCCTGCCTAAAGAACTTTACGAAAACTTGTTTCATGACTACAGAATGATGACAAAAGGATTGGTTTGCATTTCACATGTTTGCCTTACAGGTTGCAATATTTAACGGGTGCATTCAAAAGTTGAGTCTCGGTGTTTTGTAATAAATATCATGCGACCAATCTCATGATCTTACGGGTCCGGGGAGTACTGTAAGACGGGGACAGCTTTAAGTGATATCCATCTACGAACGGAACTGACGACAACTTCCAGAAACACAGAGTGTGGGTGGCACACTGCACACACAGGCCGGGTCTCCCAAGCTTTCCCCATATTCATCAACATTATCAACATATCAACGTCACCGCCCCCCATCTTCAGCATCCTCTTCACCGTCGACACTAGTATTGTCACTGCCACCGTTGCCACCACTAGCGCCGTGATCAGCATGGGATCTTCGTCGCGATAATCATAGTCATTGTCAACATTGCATGTCACGATGCATCAAAACTGCGGCTTTGGTTCCCACTTGCAGGGGGCGGGGATGAGTTCGAATCCTTGTAGTGCCAGGCCTCTCCGCGCTAACATGGCCAACGTTATCACTGGTGCTCTGTGGAGGGGTGCGCGGCCACGTGCTCTGAGAAAATGACATCCGCGATGAGCGCGGTGACAGCAAAAGCGAATCGCTGAAAGCGGCTTACATACCGTCCGGCAGCGAACCCCTCGTCTCTTGAGTTGGCCGGCCTACGTACCGCCGGGTACCGAGCCCACGTTCTCGGAGTTGGCCGGCCTACGTACCGCCGGGCAACGACCCCACGTCCTCGGAGTTGGCCGGCCTACGTATCGCCGGGTAACGACCCCACGTCGTCGGAGTTGGCCGGCCTACGTACCGCCGGGTAATGAGCCCATGTCTCCAGACTTGGCCGGCCTACGTACCGCCGGGTACCGAGCCCACGTCCTCGGAGTTGGCCGGCCTACGTACCGCCGGGTAACGAGCCCACGTCCTCGGAGTTGGCCGGCTTACGTATCGCCGAGTAACGAGCCCATGCCTCCAGAGTTGGTCGGCCTACGTACCGCCGGGTAACGAGCCCATGTCTCCGGAGTTGGCCGGTGAGTCGGACGTGAACAGCAGTTCGGTGATGCCGTGCTGCTCCAGCAGCTGCTTCACCTGGTCCAAGTAGCGCCGGTCTCGCGGAAAGTCGCTGTACCCGAACGCGCCAAACTCGTTCTCCACCTGGGCGGCAGAGTTGGGAGAGTCGGGCGGGAGCGTCTGTCTCCCGTTTCCATGTAACCAAAGACACAGAACACAGCTTTTAGGATACAGCTTTTTACAGTTCTGCGAATTGAGAGCGCACAAACCCCACCAGCCCAAAGGGCGCTCATATAAGGCCGATGCTGAATTCATTTCGATAGATGAATATCACCAAAGTACTGTCTAAGCCGGGGGTAAATAACTCCTGATTTACCGGACACGATCGGTGACAAAAACTGACACTTTTGCGGACTAGTTGGTGACAAAGTTGCGAGAATGCAAACATATTTCAAAAGAACAGACCATATTACAACTTACTACCCGGGGCCAACGAAACTCAAAGCCTAGTATTGGTCTGTGCTCGATGTAACAGCGTTAAAAATCCACGTCAATCTAGGATTGCTGTTTGTGGATCCTTGAGCTGCAGCTCCAGAGGTAAGCGGGGGGCGTTGGAGCGACACATGTCAAATATTTATCCCGGGCTTTCTGCCGCTGGCAGTAACAGCGGCTTTGAGGTAAGAGACTGAGCGGTGCTGTTGTAGGCCCCTCACATTGTTCGTCGCACCTCAGACTTAGTGTACTGATCGGTGGACAAGCGTGAGATAAAACGTTTTATTTTCATCATTTAGCATATAAAGCTGAATGAAGGTGGTAGAGGAGTTCAAAAATGTCGTTTGCATCTGCTGATACCAGTATTGCATGGGTTTTGCTTTAAATGATTGGCATCATGCTGGGAAGCGTGAGTTCTGCATCGGTGATGATTATGCGAACATAGTGAAGGTGGCATGCGCGCTCAGCTGATTGTAGCGATGACGTAACAAAACCAAGAGTGGTATTGTTGTCAGGTGCTTGTAGAACCATGTTGTCGGTAAATATAGGACCACAGGGATGCAGTCTTAACAGATTTGACGCACTTCCTTTTCAGCTAGGAGCAGGGATATAGTTTCTCGAAATTAGTTTGGGGAATAAACCCTAAAAATGATGGTAAATGAGGACTAATGCTTAAAAATGAGAAAGAAAAATAGGAAACTACATCCATGGTCAAGAGACACAATCCCTCCTCATCTGAAAAGGTAACCACACGCCTTCAGGCTGGTTATGCTAGGGATGCGTTCATCTGATAATGCTATTAATTAAGTCTCGACCATCATTCAGTGCTTGATGACCAGCAAATTATATTTGAGTGCAAATGAACTTCCGAAACAAAAACGTTTGATGATTATGCCGCATTGCATTAAATTTGTCTTTGTTTGGTGGTTTGTTGCATTTATAGTCATATTGCAACGGTTCCTGCAAGATTCTGTACCAGGTGACAACGTTGGCGGTTCCAAATTTCGTCGGTGACAGAAAAGGCACTTTCCTCACCCCTGGTCTAAGCGGTGCCGTACATTGCTAAACGCGCCTGCAAAGAGCTGTACTATCTTCTACCATTGATTTAGGGCTGACCTGTCTGTTAGCTGTCAGAGAAAGGTTCAGGATTTGCACATGTTTACTGGCAGAAATTGCTCTCCATGACATGTCTGGTCATCTGACTGCCGTTTGTTCCACTCTGACTAACGTCAGCTCCGGCTCGCTCACCGATGCTCGGCCGAAATTTGAAATTGGAGGCCGACATGCTTTTTGTGTTGCAAGCATTTTCCCTTAAATTGCTATGTACCTTCCGGCTTCCCAGAGATGGCTCCTTGTTTTTTCGGATAACCTGGTGGGTTTTCGGTTTTGTTTAGTGGTCTCCCTCTTCCTTACGGAAAAAGACTGTCCACGGCACCGACTGTTTTTAGATCCGACTCGTATTTTGTAGCCTCGATCGGTGGATTTAACCAAGGGCGGCGTTCTGGGGTCATTTTCCTCTCCTGGAGGTGGTGGTGGCCTCAGTCCTCTACCGGAAAAACAGTCTCCGCCTCGGGCAAAATTTTTTACTCAAAGATAAAGATCAAAAGTCCACCAAGGAACTGAAATCGAATCACGAGCCTAAAAGACGCCACTCGAATAAAAAGGGTCCCACAGCTACAACGAGGAAGTCCCTTGGCTGGAAAGGCTTCTTTCACTCGATCCCCCCCCCCCCCTTCCTTCCTATGGCAGAAATTCTGAACACGCCATTGGTGCTGCTATTCTCTGCCACCTCTGAATATTTTTGGAGCAGTGAAGGAAATGGCCGGAGATCAATGGCCCGGGCGGTTCTCAACCATGGCCGCTCAACATTTGTATCTGTGGTCCGATAGCGCTGTCAAGGCGTTCATATCCAAAATGGATTCCTAGATATCTTTATAGACTAAGGCGAAACTTAAGATTGTAAAAAGGATATTTTCAGCCCCGACCGATGTAGGTGAAGGAATGTCTGTCGTCTGCCCCCGTCGTCACGCCATGGCTGCAAATAGTGATATTTGCTAGTGCCACCACACATACCGCCGTATATGAGAACATAGCCACCTTGCCATAACAGCCGTTGGTAAACCCAGGACCTCGGGAGCTCTTATCTACAAAATCCTTATCTTCATTGGGACCTCTCGTCTATGACTTTGCTTTCAAAACAATGGGTCTTCCTCTGGAAACAAGTGGGATCTCTTCTCGCCGGCAACGGATACACATTAGTTTGGAGCTATTCCACTTATCCATATCACTCAGCCTCTTGCCGCATCTCCTGGCACCCACCTTTTGGCCATGACATAGGACTCCTGCTACATCCTGGCTCTTCACCACTTATGACTATGATTCCTACAAAAATAAGGCCATTCGCTGATTCATGATTCGTGGAACCCCCTGCTGCGAGGCAGCTAGATCTCCTGATCCTACGGTAACTTGTCTGATTTTACATAATTAGAGTTTCTCCTCGATCACAATAAAATTACAGTCGTTGGTTACGGTCGCGGCTTTTGACTGCATCATGGCTGCAGTTCATGTGCAGCAGACTGACGTTCATAGTACCTCCACAATCTAAGAGTGAGTGGGAACACGTGTTCGCCGGTAGCATCGCACCCAGGCGTTAACCGTTTTCAGGAGAAGATAAGCGATTGCACTGCAAAACTGCTGTTAAACATGACTTGCAGACTGGACGGGAATCTCTTTATAATTAATCCTACCCATGCCCCTAGTCTGGATATTTTTGTAAAGGAGTCTGCCTAAGACGTATTCTGAGCTATACTATTAGGACATTATATTGCAATCTTGTACAGCATCACACTATTACGATGCTCGGACCTTCTCATTTATGGCGGCCCTCCTTTTGGAAACCAATAGAGCATCCTCGAAATCGGAACAGAGCTTAACAGGGCTGCACAGTGGCTTAAAGCCATCAAGAAATGAGCAGAGTATTCGTATGTTAGTTGTAAATCTTCGGCCACTTGTATCATGCCTCACCTGTAAAGCCGTGGACTAAAAGACCGCGGTATCACTCATGGTACCCGCTAGGAAAAGTAAGAAACCAAAATTAATTAATGAAGTATGCAGCGCTCTACCCTATTTCGGTGAAAAGGGATGTCTGACCAGGTTTCGTTCTTTTCAGAACACGACAGGTGCAGCACAGCACACAAGCCACTGCACGATCTTTCGCGCACTCGGCTGAGGTAGCATATTTTGCTCTAGCCCATCATCTTTGTGTTAGAGTGCTGTGTGTGACGTCGCCTGGCCAGGATGGTCATGAGGGACCACTGCTTCACGGACGCCACTGTGGACGGCTGTGATGAGGCAGCCTCTGAACGAACCTGGACAGCTATGATCGGGCCGCCTTTGGTGAACTGAAGCTCAGTGACCTTGGGCAGCAGCTGGCTGAGCCACTTCTCTACCCGGGCCATGTAGAAGTCGTCGGCTGAGCGTACGTGCACGTTGTACTGACCCAACAGGTAACTGAGGGCCGAGTGGTTACAGTCTTGGGCTCTGTAGCGAGAGGTCTCGGTTCCACTCCTGCTGCGGAAGCTCCTGGCGCTTCCTTGAATCTCAACAGGTATTTTCGTCTCTTATCATATCAACTTCGGGACTATTCACACGGTGCATTAATTAGGAAAAACACAACTCCTTATTGGTGCCAAATGGCCACTGCAGTCGGCTTGCCCGAAGACACCAATAAACAACAACAATGCTCGTCGTATTAACGATTACGCGCGATCGGGCTTACACGCGTGCGATATCAGCGAACACGCAGCGGATGGATGGGGCACTGCGGGGCGCGGTTCACATGATAGCTCTCAGAAATGGGCTAGAGAATGTCGGATCAGTACAGTGCAGTTCGAATCAGTGCAGAAAGACACTTTGCATAATGACGGTGATTTTCGTGGTAAGGTATCCACACAGGCTCAGTCTGCCCTTCCCCGTCCAGAACCTGGAGAGGTCTGGTATACACTCACCTGGGCAGGCCACCAAAGTCCCATTCTGAGCAGATGTACGGTCCAGGACGCAGGATCACAAACAGGTCTTCCTCTTGGGCGATCTTCAAGTAACCTGAAGGGTACGGACAGGGTGAGGTTTACATGGTGTCATATGCATAAGCCAGTTAACTTAATGCACTCGTAATCCGCACAGCTTTGATGGAATTCGAATGACTATGCCACTCAAATGGAGTAAACGCCACTTTCACATAAAGCTTAAGGCAAACATTTCTCTTCAGTTCACTTCCTAAGGCTCACACACATAGTTATTTGTCAGAGCTTCCTGCACGCAAACCGAGGCGCCGTTTTGTGTAATATCCACTTCACGCATGGCTCTTGAGCCAAAGATTTGCGGAAACAAACACTTTGTTCTTCACTTCTAAATTACACAAATGCCATGACAGTGTGCGAAACCCGAAACCTGATGTGTTGAAAATTAACCTCTGCTTTATTTCTCACCTCACATTTGAAATATCTGATACACCAACAAATCATATTTAATGTCATGCAACCGCACACCAGCAAAACGACCCCACTGCCCACCGCGCCCGGCTCTGTGCGCCGAACCAGTCTTCTAAAAGCCGCCGTGGTCACACCAGTGAACCTTAGCTCTGTCTGTCTGCCTCAGAATCTACAGCAAGACAAACGGGCCTTGGGAAAATACGCGCGATGTTTACTGAGTCGCATTAATAGAGTGGTAGCTCGTGGGTGCACGACCACAACTGGTGACCCCGACCTGATCTGGCTCGGTATATCGCCGTATTTTCCCAACAAGAAAAGACAGACAAGATCAAGATGACAGGTGAATACCAAGAGAAAACCGAATATTAAGAGGAACGGGTGCAACATCTAAAGGTTCCAGCCGTCATGGAGACCGCGACACCTGGCTGTTTTGCCATCCTCAACGCCCAGTTCAACCTCAACCGAATCATCCAGAACGAGACTATATTGCATCACGTCCTAGCAGCACACCCTCCAGATACCGTCTGCAAATAAGACGCAAGTATTATCAACAACGAGCACTTCCCTGCACTGAAAGACCCTATCAATAACTCTTCGAGCGAACTATACCCAAGCTTTTCGAACGCCTCATCTCCAAAGCAAGTATGAATGTGACCGTAAGACCATCTCTGTTCTTGGCCGAGCTCCCCGACATCGCAAGTTAAGTTGGGATAGGCGACGAACTGGTGCACCACAAATTCTTGCTGCATGTGGACCTCTCCATAGCTGCCGTATGTGCTGCTCAAGATCTTCCCCTGCCTCAGCTCGGCCGACTCACCGATGAACTCCTGCCCTTCATGAGGAAGTCCAGCGTGGTGGTGGTGGTGATTTGGGTTTTAAGGGCGCGTCGGCATCGGGGCCATTTTGCGCCCACTCGATGACGGTTATCTACCTCTGCGACGACGCCATAAGTATGTAAGTCCGGCGTCTACATGGTCCAAGCTGAACACAGAGCTCCCCGCCACCAGGACCAGCACCACTTCGCCCAACGACATCAAGCAGAGAAGCACCAAGGGGATACAACCATTCAACAAAGGACAAAGGCCAAAGGTATGCAGAGCGCACATCTACTTCTGACCATCGGCAAGAACATGTCGACCATGGTGCCAGTGGCCCAACAAATCGCCTAGTGTTCGGATGGATCCGGCTCCAGAGCTGCTTCGCGATCTAGTTTCTCGCTCCTGCACGATCGGAAAACTAGAAGAGCAGGCCTTGGATCGGCGACATCTAGGCTGCCACTCATCGAAGTCACAGCCCAAGTCGGGAGAGCTGAGTCGATCTCTAGTTTTCCCGCTCCTGCACGATCGGAAAACTAGAAGAGCAGGCTGGGTTGGCAACATCTAGGCTGCCACTCACCAAAGTCACAACCCAAGTCGGGAGAGCTGAGTCGATCTCTAGTTTCCCGCTCCTGCACGATCGGAAAACTAGAAGAGCAGGCTGGGTTGGCAACATCTAGGCTGCCACTCACCAAAGTCACAGCCCAAGTCGGGAGAGCTGAGACTGACTTCATCGTCGACACCGGCGCACCCATCTCTCTCATCCTGACGCAACAACTCGCCGGTCATCACATCAACCCTACCGCCGTCAGCCTGTCGAGCGCAGGAGAGCGCATTACTACCCACGGTGGGGTAGCCTTATCTTTCTCGATACCCAACCTCCGGCGCCAATTCCGTTGGACCTTCAGCACTGCTGACGTAACCTCCGCCATACTTGGAAGTCATTTTCTATCACACTATGAAATCCTCGTCAACTTTGCATGGGATCCCGCATCGACCCCACCACCTCGCTGTCAACCAGCGGTACTCCGGCACCTTCCCGATTGGCTTACCTCGTGAACGACCTATCTCAAAAACATTCATCCGCCCTATCCCTGCTCGCCAAGCCTGCCCCGTCCTAAAGCCATGCCAACCGAGCGAAGAGTCGGAGCCGAATGTATCCGCTACCGCGGCGTCGCATCACATCGACAACGGTAGCGCGCCACCAACCTTCGCAAGCCCGAGGAGGCTACCGCCTGACACACTCGACGCCGCAAAAGGAGCATTCAAGACTGCTCGACAGAGGAATCATTCGTCCATCTGACTCGCCCTAGGCCTTGCCATTACATATGGTGCGGAAATCAACACCAGGAGAATGGAGAGTAACCGGAAATTACCGGGCCCCAAACTCCAAGCCACTTCCGATTCCCCACCCCCGGCACCTCAGCCAACATCTCCATGGAAAGAAAGCATTCTCCAAAAATTGTCTTCCTCCGTGCTTATCACCAAGTGCCTGTCAACCCTGGTGACCTCGCTAAAACCGCCGTCACCACACCCTTCGGCTCGTCCGAATGCCTGTACATGCCGACGGGTCTTCACAGCGCCGGAGCCACCTTCCAGAGAACCATGGACTTCATATTCAGGAAATGCAAGTGTGTCTTCGTCTACCTTGACGATCTCTGATTCACTCGGAAGACGAAGAGCAGCATGTTCAAGGCCTCAAGGCCATCTTCTCCCTTCTGGACCAGTATCAACTCAAGATCTCCCTCGAGAGATGTGAATTCTTCCAGACTAAGATATTTGTCCTGGGACATGACCTCAGCGCCGAAGGAATCCGTCTTGAAAAGCATAGAATCTTTGCAATTCACGACATCAAGACGCTGACCACATCAGCCGAACTGCGAAGGTTCCTGGGAGTGATCGGTTTCTATAGGAGGATGGTCCCCCAGTTCGCTGACATCACACATTCCGCTCACTGAACTCATTCGTCTTTACCTGAAGTCAGGAAAGCTTCCCTGGACTAGAATGGAGACAGGCGACTTCGGCGCTGCAAAAGTAGCCCTGCGGGATGCCTGTATCCTTGCTCGTCAAGTCCCTGGTTGGGAGAAACACCAACCCGTAGCCGAATGCTCCGCTGTCGCAGCCGGAGCAGTGCTCCATCAGATCGACGAACCCGTGCCATCGCCTTATTCTCCCGACAGCTAAGTCAGTCTCAGAAGAAGTACTCCACGTACCACCGAGAACTATTGGCTGCCTATCCCGCAATCCTCCATTTTAAACACCTCCTGGAGGGCAGAACCGTCACCATGATCCCCGATCAAAAACCTCTGGTATCCGCTTCCAAAAGCCCCATCTCGCCAAGACTGATCGCCAGCAACGCCACTGGAGCATCGTCCTCGAGTACGTCGCCAACGTCGAATATCTCCGGGGAGTGGAAAACGTCGTCGCTGATTTCCTCAGCCGCCCGATTCAAGCAATCACCGCAGGCGCCCTCGACCTGAACGTCATCGCCGAGAAGCAGGGTGAAGATCGGGAAGTCATCGGCTACATGGATCGCCTCAAACTCTGCGCTCAACCCGACGGTAAAACCCTGCTATGCGACACCTCCACACCTCATCCCAGGCCATTTCTTCCTGTCTGCCGTGAACTATCTTCCACAAATTCCACAGCCTCTCGCACCCTGAAGTGAAAGCCACCCTCAAACTCCTGGCTCAACGCTTCTTCTGGCCTAACATGCAACGTGAAATCCGAAGCTGGATCCGTGAAAGTCAGCACTGTCAAGGAAAAAAGTCCACCGGCATACTAAACAAACCTTCAAATGCCTTGACAAGCCCTGTTCTCGAATCAACGTTGTGCACATTGGCATCATCAGTTCTCTTCCCCATCTCGAAACCGAGATCAGACCTACACCGCGTCCGATAGACGCCTCGTCACCTGTATCACCAGGGCAACCCGGTGGATTGGGGCTTACAGCCTCCAACGTGGCTGCTGCCCTCATGCGTGAGCCGTTTCGGTGTCCCACTCAAAGTCATCACGGATCGCAGTTCACAATTCGAATCCAAACTCTTCCTCCATCTGTCCGGGATCCTAGGTGTCCACGGCATCGGGACAGCAGCCTACCCCTCGCAAGTCAATGGTATGGTGGAAAGACTTCACCGCACCCTCAAGACCGCCATAGTCGCACGCAAAGAAGAATGGCTTTAATCATTACCTGGCATCATCCTCAGCCTCAGAACCATCATCGCGAACGAAAACAGCCTATCCCCATTCACCCCTGTGACCGGTACGCATCTCGTGTTTCCGAAGATCGGCGTCCAACCGCATTCATCTCTGTCACAGCACGCCTACGTCCGTCGACTCGCCAAGCACATGACCCAGATCGACTATATAGCACTCTCTCAGGGTCATCATCACGCTGAACCCTCCACCCATCTGCTTCCCAAGCTATCTACGTGCACACATGTCTGGGTCGGCGTGGATCGCGCGAAACGGCCGCTCTCTGCGCCCTAACCGGGACCGTTGGCTGTCGTGAAACGCGCCGCAAACTGGTTTCAAGTTCGCCTGCCTTCTGGTCAACTCGACACTGCCTCCATCGACCGCCTCAAGCCCGCTGTCTTCCCCGCCATTCCTGACAACGAGGAGATTCAACTTGAACCTGCAATTAAACCACACCCAGAACCTGCTTCGCAGCCGCCGCTTGCCACCGCGGTCCCGCGGATCGAAAGTCCCCGCGCACATTCCGCCCCTGAACCGCGTGTCATATACTATGCTGCGTAGTCCTTACGTTCCGTTCTGAGGGCGGGGGGGGGGGGGGAGTGTTTGTAGTGTCATTCGTCAGCGCTTAGTGGGCCGGGCCGGCCGGGAGGGCCGCCGCCTGTAACGTCAGCACCATGTGTACCGCCACATTATCGCAAACCAACAAATCATATTTAATGTCATGCAGCCGCACACCACCAAAGCAACTCCACTGCCGACCACGTCCGGGTCTGCGCGCCGGGCCAGCCTTCTCCTAGAAGCCATCGTGGTGACACCAGCGAGCTTTAGCTCTCTCTGTCTGCCTTAGAATCTACAGCAAGACAAGCGGGCTTTGAGAAAATACGCACGATATGTACCGAGTCGCATTAACACGTGCTCGGGTGGGGGTCAACTCGACCCCCAGAAGGTTTTTTTCCAACATAGTTTCTAAACAACCCGGCATAGCCGTGCCAAACTTTGCATAGCTGTAGACCATTGAATAGCAGATCCTCTGGCATCAAAGCTTTAGATACGCCTTGTAAGGTTGCTGACCTATGGCAGGTCAAAGTCAGGCCATGGTTTCAGCGAAGGCAATTTCTAGGGAATCGTTCAATCTGATGAGACAACGTGGTGTTAGACAAAGACAAACATCTCTGAGATACTTTCTTAGGAAACCTAACAATTGAATGAGCAAATTACATTGACCTAGTATCAGGTATGAAGATCAGTTCAAGGTCAAAGCCAGTCTATATCATTAATGTAGGGCTTTCTGTATGGGGTAGTTCCTGGTGCTCATTTAAAGTTTATTGATTACAGGACCCACATTATACACCTTCCAAGGATTCCTTAAACGTAAGAATAGGTCGCTAGCCTAGAATGACCCAGGTCAAAATATTGTTTTTAGGAACATACCGCCTAGCGTACTCGACGTCGCTTATTCAAATGCAAAACTTAAAGCGCTCTTGTATGATTTTGATCACCATGACCTTCAAAAGGTCAAGCACGATCACTGGTCTTAAGTGAGTATGTGGCCTTCCGCTTAGAACAATTATCTAGGTTCTAGGGACCTTTTGGAGACCAACCTGGAGTTTAACCTTATTTGACCTTATTTGGCCTGAAGGTCACGACCTAGGAACCTTTAACTCTGACCTACGTGAGCTCACTTACAGGTCAACACACCCTGTGAATTTAGTGTGTCTAGCTTTATTAGTTCCTGAGATCTCACGGTGGTCAAATTGACACGCACCCGAGCGAAGGGTATCCAGCCGGCCACCCGGGCGCATGTTAATACAGTGGTAGCGCATGGGTGCACGACCACTCCCGACTCCCGACTGCCACGTGTCGCATGACGCGCCGTTTCGTTTCTTGAAGTTGGAGGCCTGCCAACTGCCACCTGTTGCGTGTCAGAGCGAATGACACAGGGGGGACAGGAGTAGCTGCATCCGGGCTGAGCCCTCCCAAGGAAAGCGAAAATCCGATTGATGACTGTCCAGCCCGGGAGGGATTGCGTCTAAGCAAATGCTTCTAACAGCGGCAGTGGAATGCGTCAAAGGAAATTCATCTAACCCAGCGTGATACTAGGTAGTGTATCACGTGACTGGTGAAATAAGCAGGGATCAATAACTTACACCTGGAGTTTCGCTCGATTTATTTTCGGGTGTTTAACATTGCTTAGGTGGGAGAACCGCGGCCTTTAACTTCTCAGTCACTAATGCCGATATCAACGTAAGGTTATGTGTGCCGCGGTGGACGAGTGTGGACACTCCTGGCCACCTGTTGAGGGGGTAATGGGTAGGTAGAGCAAAATTATAATGCAATGTAGAGCTGTCCTGTGCGAGGCTTAGATGCGGTGTTCCGGGCCGCCGGCCTCCCAACAGCTGCCGGACGCGCCGCCCAGGTGCGCCTACTATCGGCGGCCAGGGTCACCAAAGGGTTGACCAGGAATCAGGCGCGCCAGAGGTGTAACGATGTGCGCGGAACACGCACCGCACATCACTCCACAAAATGTTCGATGCTACACAATGCTCTGCGCTACACAATGCTGCAGAACTGTAGCATTCCTACGATGGGAGATTTGGAGCGTTTCGGTGCCGGTGGAGATAAACTAATCAGGGCACTAGCACAGTGTTTGATGATGTCTTTTCCTGTTGTGCTGTAGACATGCGACGAGCGTGTCCATATCGTGTTTTTCTCGCTGCCCGCAGACTGGCGATGGAGCCTGAACACGCCGGGAGCCGCCGCGGTCACCGGCCGCGGCACGCTCACCGGCCAGGTCGAGGAACTCAGACATGTCGCCGCCGCCGTCGCCGAAGTCGTACACGTCCCGCTGCGGCTCGTGCAGGTTCCAGGCGACGTACGTCTCGACCGTGTTGAGGCCGGCGGCGCGCAGCTTACGCAGCGTGGCGCGCCAGTAGGCCGGGTGCACGCGGAAGTAGTGTACGGCCCCGCTGAACACCTGGCGCAGGAGCGGTGACGCAGGGTCAGCGCCGGGGTCCGGAGGGGGTCAGCGCCGGGGTCCAGAGTCACCGCATCAGTCACCGAACGCAGGTGGAGCCGCTCTGGGCGGAGTCAGGGCCGGGGTCAGGGCCGGGGTCCGGAGTCACCGCATCAGTCACCGAACGCAGGTGGAGCCGCTCTGGCCGGAGTCAGGGCGGGGGTCAGGGCCGGGGTCCGGAGTCACCGCATCAATCACCGAGCGCAGATGGGGCCGCTCTGGCCAGAGTCCGGGCGGGGGTCAGGGCCGGGGTCCAGAGTCACCGCATCAGTCACCGAGCGCAGGTGGGGCCGCTCTGGCCGGGGTCAACTCATACATGGAAAACCAAAGTGTGATAATAATATAATAAGCTCTGGGTTTCACAAGCATATTTCTGATGACCAACACATACGCTCAATGGTTGGAATTATGTCAGAAAGTTAGGTACACACGCACGCACACACGCACGCACGCGCGCACAAGATAATGCCTGGCAGCAAGGGAAGGGAACAGCACGACTGGGATGTGGTCATTTATCGCTTCAACGTAAACAGGAGCCTGTCGGTGTTGCTAGATGGCAGATGCCAGGGGCGGATCTAGCCTGGAGTTGTTTTTTTTTGGGGGGGGGGGGGACAACCGTTCGTCGCCAACTGGCTGGTGTGGGATCCGAGGTCCAGTGCATGATGCCTCTCGCGAGTACCTGGTAGGGACACCATTGAAGCGCCGAAATGCTTTTGAATCTTAAACAGGAAGTTAAAACAAAACAATTAAAACAGTTAAAGTTAAAACAGACGGTAAGTAGACGAAACTTTATGAAGTTCTGGGAATATTTTGGGGGGCCAAAACATACTCCCAGAGTTTTTTGGGGGGCCATGGCCCCGTGCCCCCCCCCCCTCGCCCAGGATCCGCCTATGGCAGAGGCCCCAAGGATGGGTAGTCACTAAACAAACATGTCTGACGGTTTACTGGTAAAAGGTCGAATACGTCTGAACCGTGCGGTCTCTCACAGGACATGGCGCCCGTGTGCCATGCGTCGTCGTCATTGGGGCTTTCACGACGCGCTCAAGCTGTTGAGACTGTATAGCGTCGCCTGCCTATGACGCCGGCACGAACGGCGGGGCATGTGTCACGCAGGGATGTACATACAATATGCACTGTGAGGCTGAAGGCCCCTCGGGAAGCGTGGCTGCCAATTCCTCCCTGTCAAATGTCCACCGGCCACCCAACGCGGCGAGCCGCGGCTCAATCGAGTCTCTCACGGCGGCCGGACTCGGCAGGGTCTCCTGAGGCGACCCGCTCCGGCCGAGACACCTGGGCGCCACCCATCATGCGTAGGGGATCGGATAATTCGACAGACCGCTTCCGTTTGGTTGGACTAAAGCCTCATCAATCAGAAAACATTGAGAGTCGTGGGAGAAGGCAGGGGACAAACGGCGTGCCATTGCAGGCTTCTCTGGGCTTAGTCCGAGCGTGAGGCTCAGCCCCGCTCCGAGAGTCTCGGCGGGGCTTGTGCGGGCGCTCGGGCTCCACCCAGAGTGTTGTTAGATCAGGGGGCGGCTGCCGGCTGGCGGCTGGCAGCTGACGGCCGCGGCTGCCTCCCATGCGTTTCCCAGGGCGCAGGGTGCAGGGAGGATGCCGAAAAAAGCGCGTGCAGTGGATAACAGAGCGGCGAGACCGATAGGTGTGATCCACGAGACATAGAGTTGCTGCACGACGCGAATCAGTCCAGCGTGCCCGGTAGACTCGCCGCGCGCCGGTGGCATGCGCTCTCACCTGAACCTCTAATCCGTTGAGCGTGAAGTGCTCTCCGCTGGCCACCAGACCCTCGGAACGCTGGCCACCCGCCGCGTAGTAGTCGTACCAGTTGACCAGGTCGGCGGCCGAGCCGGCCCGCCTGCGGCCTTCCATCGTTGGCGCTCTGTCGTCAGGGGGTGCGGATCAGTGCCCCTGCCCCGACTGTTGTTGATCATCTGGCGGGCAGAGCCCCGTTCTTCATAAGCAAATGGAAGCCCGTTCCCTACTTTGTGTAACCAGGTTCATTGCATGACGTAGCCACCGACTTACCTATGACGTCACGAACAAACCCGTTCCCTTACATGGCCGAGGGGCGAAAGTAAGAGTGGTAACCCGTAGTTGTTTGACACGGTTACGTTCATGTATTCAGCAACGCGTAGCAACGCCCGTGCTGCATTTGCGGCTGGGGCCAGGCGAATGCGGAAGGGTTTGTCGAACACCCTAGATTTTGCCATTTTGAAGAGCATTTGAGTAGTTTACTGCCATTGAGCAGCAGCATTGTTATAGAGTAGTTTATTACTCTTGGTTGAAGAAAGCATTTTTTACACGAATTTGCTTCCCCCAAGTAATAGTTCGTCAGTGATTGTAGGTCGGGTCGTAGCCAGGGCAATGCAACACCTAGCCCTGACGCAGCAGGACGTGGATACAGTGATGTTAGGTCAGCCATTGTTTTCTCAGTGACGGAATCACAAATGCACAGGTATGCACTGTTAGGTAACTTCTCTGCCCAAGACCCACTGGATTAAAGCAGTGAACATTTCAAATGTGAGCAATTTGTTTCAAAGGCCTGACTTATTATTTTGAATGACCAAACTGTACTGGCATGGGTTGTTATCGATTGAACAACTCAGTGATAGCTACACTGTGAAATTGCAGTTGTATGAGGTGTAAACATGATTGTGATGCTGTATGAAAATTATATTATGGATATGGTTGCACTTATTTTCCATGTTACTTCTTTACTGACCTGCTGCATGCCTGACCATAATGAATCATATGGAGATGGTTGAGTTTTGTGATCCTCATGCTGAACAGTCTGTCATGGCGATGTTACCTTAAATTATGTTGACAGATTAAGCCCTCATGGATATTTCAGTGTACCTAATTGATAAGTAGCAGAAATGTGAGGTTTATTTCATCCATGAATTACTAGTGGTATCAAAGCAGATGTAAGTACAAGGCAGGAGTATAAAGTTTTCATAGTTAAATGTTTTTTATGTAAAGAGCTGCTTAATGTTTCATGCTTAGGCTTAATTTTGATCAGTCTGTTCACTACACATTAATCTATGGCCTGTGCTTCTCTTAACTGCATTGAATGCTACTTAATGTGACCATTTTTTTCTTCTTTTTTTCTACACCTTACCTAAGAACAGGTAACCAGGAGTGCCCCTCCCTCAATCCCAGCGACGCAGTAAACCGTATGTTAACACCAGAAAACCTAAAATCAAGTCGCGGCACTCCCAGCTAGGAAGATGAAACAAACTTTTAAAAAAACAGGCGAGGAGGTGGAGCAGACCCGAGGGAATTGTGTTATGTGAGAGGTAGGGAAAAATCATAGATGAAAAGGCTTAGAGTAGTCATTAGCCAAAATCAGCTAATGACAGTCCGCTACACCCGCCCAATAATCTACAACCACTCGATTCCTGGTGTTAGTAAGGGTTATACAGTCACAAGTTGGAGGGGGCAATTACCTGGTCATTTTTGTGCTGGGTTTTGGGCTGGATTTCCAGGGGGTCCACCCAGCTAAGCAGAGCTTGTTGCTGGGAGAACGAGAACCATTATGCACAGATTGCCAAAGAAGCATGCACTATGGCCATGACTTTGCTGGGGTTTGACAAGGTGGGCAAGTTGTAAAAATGTATGCATGTTGAAGTGGCATTTTGCTTTATTTAAGTACTGTTTGAATCAAATTTTACCCTCCTATCAACTAAATGTTTAATGATGGAAGGCAGTTAGCACTTAATGCTGAAAATGTTAGTTGCCAGATATGAACACCTGTTTTGGCATGCACTAGGCAGTCAAACAATGGGCTTGGCATGCTGTATGCTGCCCAAAGTAGTCCCAATAATTGAATGTACACAAATTGTTATCTATTTAGATGTTGAGAGTCTGCAAGTGTCAGTCTATGCTCCTTCCAGAGACACTTCTTGCTGCCATGCCATTGTATGTTTCCCAAAGCACTGGAGCAAGCAGCATGCATTATCTGTGTCATGAGGTAGTCAGCCATGTACTGTGGCTTTGTGTTGCCCATGCACTGTACTTTCAAGCAGTGCATGTCGGGAGGTAACAGGGCACGTATGTCAGTGTGTTCCATGGGATCTGCCCCATGGGGCTGTGCATGCACATATCATCCCCTGCATGATGCTCATAATGTATGACACAATGATAATCTCAGCCACATGGCCCATGTTTTTCATTTCTAAATGTTTTAGCTGCTGTAGTTTGTTTTCTGCATGCAGGAGGCACATTCAATTTTGACAGGTGTTTTTTGTATAGCCATGTTAAAATGGTGTTTAGCCAGGACAGAAGTAGTTTGCCAAGACAGTATGATTGTGAGAAAGTTTATCTTTGCATCAAATGTTTTGGGATGTAAATATACTGCATAATCTGAGTCACACTTTTCCATAGATATTGTTCATCTATGTGTCTATAGGTAGAACTCACTTTCATACCATGTGTCACAACATGCGATTTATTCCTGCACGCGTGGTCCGAGGAAGGCATTTCGCTTGCCGAAGCGAAATAGCACTTTGCTTCACACTTGTTTCCGCACATCGTTCGTCTCATCGGCCCTGGTCTCGGTTAGCGCGCAGCACGCATATTTTACAACTTCCGTCGGGAATCATCTATGGTGAAACAAGACATCCGGGCCCAAGGAGGACATGTGATGCCCCTCCCCTTAGCTGCATCCCTGATAACAACCACACGTGCCAAAACTTCCATGCGCAACATGATATATGGACGATCTCAGTATACATCTGCGATGATCTTATCTGGCATAAGACGTCAGGTTACCAGTGCCCGTTGAATTTCGATCATGTGGCAGGATCAATTTGTGTCGTTACTTTCGCGCAACGCTTAAATTAATGTGACAGCTTACTAAGTCGAGGATGTTGATCTGCCTTCTGCCTCACGGATGTCGATTTGTATTCTTTTGTGAGGGTACCGCCCTTCCCCCCATGTTGAGTTGCCCCCCCCCCCCCCAATGTTGGCTTGGCCGTCCAATGTTTTTGGCTGGAATACTGCAAAAAACGTGTGAAAATTGATCATAGCACGAAGACTATCTTCTTTGATCTTTCTGCATAGTGGAGTCTCGTGCCATGCTCATAACAAAGTCATGGTTGTTCTCACCACTAGACATAAATCGTAACAGCTGCGGACAAACGGTGCAGTCAACTTTGCATACCCAGAGCCAGAAGACACGCAATGGTTTGTGAGTTTAAGTGAGAAGCTCTAAAATATGGAGATGTCGTAAGTCCTTCATGGCTTCCCGCTCCCGTCCCCCACAACCAAAATGCGCGTCGCCTCTCGCGACCGGCACAGACGAGTGTCATCGGTGCTCTATGGTGACCTCTAAGTGGGCGCCTTTACGTGCCGGTCAGGAGAGAGGCGTGCGTCCAGTGCCTGCTCCCTGGATCCAACCCTGCATAGCTGCCATGCTGCTTAAATTAAAGACTTAACTTATACAAAGATTGAAAACATTATTGTGTTTAAACAAGGTAAAGTGGGCTAAATCCGGTGAGAAAAGGGGGCGAGAGCATTAGGTTTTCGGGCGTTCGATTTGCCCCCCCCCCCCCCCGCCCCAATAATTGACGATAGTTGACGCCCCTGCTCTGCCTATAATATTCTCATTAAGTTGCGTGACTAGGGTAAAGGCGGTTATGAAAGATACACCTGGCGCGTTGGCATCGGACTGTTCCAACTCGTCAATATCATCTCTGCTGTGCGTCAAATGTGTTTGTTGGGATGCAGCTGAGTTTACCAGCCACCATATTTGGGAGTTACTTGAGACATTTTCCATCACGTAGATACGTAGATGTGGGACGTCATAGTTTGTTGCCTGAGAGGGCGAAGCATCTGGCAACATTTTTCAATGAAGAACGTGGCCCAGGCGGAGCGCTGCACGTGGTTGACCGCTGCTAAGAATGTTGAAGGCACGGGCGGCTTCCCTTGGCTTAAATCGTGGCCGATCTGTGTCCAACTTTGGCCCGTAGTGAAGAGCAAGATTGTCGGCAGCTTTTCTGGCCCGATGTCCGGGTCTGAAACGCACGCATTGTGGCAACCCTGGCAAGAGCGCCGCTGTTCCTGGTGACTTAATCTCTCGTTGACGCCACAACTTAGGGTGTATGTCTACAGCTGCCGGAGGGGGACAGATCTCTCTCGCTTGCAGTGGACGGGCTCCTCTTGGTACCACGCCCCCCTGTCCTGGAGGCAGCGCGCCCCGCCCGCCCCCTGACGGCGAACGTTGGCGCCACGAGACGGACGGCGCGCCATGCGTCACACCGGCGGGGGCTGGGTGTCACGCGCAGCCCCTGAGCGGTGGCAGTGCGTCCCCCAGGTGTCACACGCCCCCTCAGTAGACTGCTTAGACAACGTGCACATATGTTGTAGATTGCCAACGGCTTGGAACTACAGAGCATGTTACATTGGCACATGTTCGTGAAACGTGAAATTCCGTCTAAAAAGCTGACAACCACGTGTCAACTGGGCGTTTATCACGACAACCCGAGTCGGCGGTGATGCGAGGCCAACACACCTCTACGGAGGAAAGAACTGACAACCGCGTTTGCAAAAACTGTGGGTGAACGTATGTGGCCTGTCATGTATTTTCGCGCAAACCATGGATCCGATCTTTTCGGAGGTGTTCTCAGAGCCTGGTGCCAGATCTCACCATCTGGTGCGCTTAAAGAGTGCGTCAGCCGCATGGCGTAGAAGCATGCGCCGTCTACAAGTCATTAACCAATCTCCACAATGTCTGATCCATGGTTCGCCAATAAAAGATTGTACATCAGCCAGCGTCACTTTTCTCCAAACCGGTCCCAAATGCAACACGCTGTCGCCAGAACGGACTGGGGCTGGAATGGCGGACCGGAGGTGGACTGGGACCGATGCACTGTGGCCCATGTCATATCCAAATTTTGCGTTTTT